TCAAAAAAGAAAGGAATGTTTGTTTCATGACAGATTTGGTCTGAAAAGAGTGTTCAAATCTGATAAGAAAGGTGTTTTTGCACACAGGGCTGCATGTATTATGTACCTCCAACTACACTGCGGAACAGGATAAGTGGTAGGGTAAATATTAGTGTGAACACAGTAAACCATTTTTACTCAGGAAGACGACGAGAAGAACTGGTACAGCCATATACTTTCGACCTCCGCACTTTGGAGATATCTACACACCTGATAAACAAAGAGCTACCTCTTCTGGGGATAAAAGGGAGGTTGCCATGTCGCCAAAGAAATAGCTCTGAAGTATCCTATGTGACGGATAAAATTCGCGGGCATACAAAATCTTTTTTTTAACACAATGTCCATATACAGTGCTCTTTCTTGAAAATTAATGTGTGCATTTTTGAAAAATAACATTTACACTCTTTTTATTGAGATGTAACACTCTTTCACATTTGTATATCTCATAACTCATTCTGCAGTTGAGACGTGTTACATAAAAAAGTTTAATATGTCACACACAGAGACTGATAGATTAGAATTAGTTCAACGTAAAGCTAGGTATAAATATGTTGTTAAGAAAAAACGTCGTTCTTTTAAATGGCAACAAACTAAAAATTTTGAGAATTTAAAAAAGAGTAAGCCACGTGATTTTTGGCGTTATTTTAAAAAGAAACAGAGACGTAATAATTGTGAAAATACCTTTGCACGATTTTAAAACATATTTTTGAAAACTATGTTTTCTGAAGTAAATTTTTTCCTTGAATGAAAGAGCAGAATATTTTAACAATGTCCATGATTTTAATGATTTTTAACCCTGTTTTTCTGAATTAAGATGGAAAATATTACTTTAAACAGGAAGTACTTAAGGCAATTTCTATGCTTAAGCGAAAATAAAGCGGCGGGGATAGATAATCTTTTTAAACGAATATTTTATAGAAGCAAGTGATATTTTGTCTGGACATATAACAGAGCTATTTAACAAATATTTTAGAATCTGGCATTTTCGCCCCGAAATCTGGACAAGAGGTTGTATAAATACCATTACATAAAAAAAGGAAATAAAGAAAATGTACAAAATTACAGAGGAATAACTTTATTTAAGCCATCTTGGTAAATTGTTTTTACTAGTATTTTAAATCAAAGAATAACTAAATGGTGTGATGGAAAATAATATATTATCTCTGATGCGCAGTTTGGTTTTAAAAAAGGTAGTTCGACTACAGAAAGCTGTTTTTATATTGCATTCTATAATTGAAAAATATTTTGAACCAGACAATAAAAAAATTGTATTGTGCTTTTATTGATCATTTAAAACGTTGTTTGATTCTATATACAGGAATGCACTTTTGGTTTAAGATTGGTATTATGCTGGTTTAAATGGTTAAATTATTAAGGGAATAATAAGAAGTATGTATAGCTCTGTTAAATCTTGTGTTAAGTCCTGTGGTAACTATTTCTTTGATTTTTTTGATATTTCGATTGGATTACGTCAAGGGGAGAATTAATTTCCCCAGTTATGTTTTTCCTTGTTTATTGAAGATCTAGAAACTCTATTTGCAAAAATAACTTAAATTCTGGTATAGATCTTCAAGGGACATTTTGCCTAATTTTACTTTTGTTTGCTGATGATATGGTATTAATTGATGAAAATCCTTCTAGAGTGTCTTCAAAAATTCATTAAATAAGTTCAATGAATACTGGTAGAAATAAATGGGGATTAGAAGTTAATGTTAACAAAACAAAATCGTAAGTTTTTCGTAAGAGGGGTTGGTTTAAGAAGCAGGAGAAAACTTTGGTTATATGGTCAAATAGTATAAGAAATTGTAAAATGATTTTTAATTATCTAGGTGTCACATTGAATTATACAGGAAATTTTTAACTTAAATACTCAAACTTTGTATGGTAAAAGTTTAAAAGCCCTAAATAATTTAGTGGCAAATTTTGAAAAAATATGAAACAAAAACCAAAAATAGCCCTACAGTTGTTCGACTCTTTTATTGTTCTATTTTAATTGTATGCAAGTGAAGTATGGGGGTTTTCACAAATTCAAAAAAGTTAGAAAATATTCATTTGAAATTTTGTTAAAAACTATTCTTTGGTGTTAGAAAATCTACTAGTAACGTAGCTGTGTATGGTGAACTTGGAAGATATCCGTTGTATATAAACAGATATGTCCGAATTGTAAAATTTTGGTTTAAGATAATAAGTTCAAGTAATATTATTATAGCAACAATTGTTTAATTCATGTATGTCTGATAAATAAATATAGGGTATACAAACTGGTTTGCAAATGTACGAAGTCTTTTAGAAAAATACGGTTTTTTTTTGATGTATGGTTAAACCCTTTAAGCGTTAATCAAAATTGTGTTTTATTGGTCGTTTTTAAACAGAGATTAATAGATGAATATTTACAAGAATGGAGAGCTAGTATTAATTGTAATGATGTATTTATTTTCTATATAAATCAGTTAAGGACAGTTTTGAAATGTCACCTTATTTAGAAAATATTGTATCAAGAAACTAAAGAATAGCTTTTGACAAAACTGCGTATTTCAGCTCATAATCTTAGAATACAGACAGGTAGATATTCACGTGAAAGAGTAGAGGCGTAATTTAAGATATTGTTTAATTTGCAATACAAATGAAATTGAGGACGAGTTCCATTTTGTGTTTAAGTGTCCTGCATATGAAAGTTTAAGAAATATATATATTAAGAATTATTATAGAAAATAGACCAAGTATGTTTAAGTTTACTCAATTATTAAAAAGTGATAAAAAATAAAGAAAACACTTATGCTTTGTAAATATATTAATGAAGCTTTCAAATTAAGATATCAAGATTATTAATGCTTAGATATGTATTTCAACCTACTTTTATGTATACCTAACAGATCCAACTAATGAAAAGTTTTATTGTGTATACTATTGTGTATGTAATATCCATTATGCTTTAAATATTTGTGTCATCTCTTATTTTTTTTGTTTTTGTCCATTCCAATATAATTATTATGTTTACTTTCATGTCATTGTATTTTTCATGTCATTATATATGTATGCTTGTATATATGTTAATCACGAGAAACTTGTAGTTTAAGTGAAATAAACGTTCTTCTTCTTCTTCTTCTTCTTCATAAAAAATAAAACCACTCCGTTTATGATGAAATTATAAAGCAGGAATATATAACTGCTAATAAAAACAATCATAACCAAACATGGTCTTAATCGACATGCACGCTTATTTTGTTTCCTTACGCTTTTTTGGACGATTCAGACTGTCTTTAAAGGTATTTGTTTTCCGTTTATTTTATATATCGGGGCATTTTTTGTTATCTTTATCTTCCAAACCCCAATCTGGAACTGTTACTTGCTACATTTGTAAGGATAAAGTAGTTGTATCATAGTTTGGGGACCTTTCTGTTGAAAATGTGTCAGACTTAAATCGTATAAATATACATGCACAGTGCGTTAACTGGAGTGCAGGTATTCCAGAGCATGCCCATTGATTGGCTCATTTTTGCTAGGGTTTACTTATTGTGACGGTAGAGAACGGAAAATCGATAGAAATATCATATTCATATACTCGTTCATTGATTACTTTTTTTTTTTTTTTGGGGGGGGGGGGTTCATATTGTGACAACAGGGAACGTGTGTTTATGTTTGACTATGATACAAAAGAGAAAGAACATCAAAATAATCGGCAACCTGATTAATACTCGGGGGTTACGCCCCCTCGTACACATCAGATAGCCTCGTGTTTCGATGCTCTTTCTATTACTTATCCCATCTTTGTTCTTTTACATGTCCTGTGTATACACCGATACATTGGACCTTGGTTTTTTATGGTCAAATATGAAAGATATTTAGTATTGTAAGCAGTGGACCTTCGAATACAAGCGTATCATCACTTTCGTTTATAAGTCTATTCTAAATAAGGTATTAATGTGACAAGTCATCAAATGGTATGTCATATGATTATCCTACCACTAGAAATTGACCCTGTCACTTATTACAAGAAGGAAATACTCATGCAGTACGAAAAATAATTGAATTTCAAAGTAAACTAAAAATGCTTTTGTCGAATTTTTATCATAATTACATTTAAAAAAAACTGATAAGCTCAATAATTATGTTTTTGAATCGTTAGTCCGATTGAACAGATGAGTCCTAAATATGTGAGATCAGTAATCGCAGCCATTTAGATAGACAAAACTTTAAGAGTTTCACCTAAATAAATAAAGATACACGCAAAAACGAAAATTAAACTATTCCTACAACACTTCGCTTATATCTATAGAAATGAAACAAATGCGCTTTCAAGGCAAATTTCTTTATAAAATATGAAATATTTTCAACTAGACGAATTCAAGGGGTAACGATCTGAAGGAGTTGACTTTTATCGACATTTATAAATGTATCTTTAGAATATATTTATGCAATGAAACATTATAGTAGCACAAATCGATGCTAAAACTGTCGAATAATTGGGTTTAAAATTCAGGAGTATTGGATTATGTTAATAACATTTTTGTTTTATCTGATTTTTTGTTTTAATTTGTTTCTCTGCGTGTAAAATATTTGGTTTGTATGCAAAATCATCTAGATACTTAAGACTACTATGTTTCTTATCTTATTTCTGTTCTTCAATTTTTTCAATGCCGACTTGCTGCCGTGCTTTATAGATAAGACATTTATAAATATCAGCCCAATATATAATTCTACCTTCCAAATTTAAAACGAAACAAACCAATAGCACAATGGTTAAAACCTATGCTTGCCTAAACAACCCCTTGAACGTTTTCATATGCATCAAGATAAATTCTTTACTGAGACATATTACTGAATTTGATCTGTAATTTATTGTTGCTTTAAAATGATTTCACAAACATAACAAGAAACTATAAGTTAGGAATACTTATATCTTATGATACATGAAGGAATAACAACACTACATTACTCTCAACCTTTAGAAAACTTTTGAGAATGATTGATCTTATGTTTATTATCAAAGCATACTAAAAGTTGTCTTTCTTTATTAATATCTCATGTGCATCAATGTCAAATGCGTCAACAAGTATACATTGAAAAGTCAAGTTAACTAATATTCGTTTTATTAACACTTTTGTACGTTATAATATCTAACACTGAATTCAGCAAATGTATCCATTACAACAACTACTAAAATAAGGATTGTATGGTCTTGTCCCACAGCAAGACGAACTCGATCCTTTATGACTGAGGACGCCGTTACAACAAATTCTGAAATGTGGATTATACGGAACTGCACCACAGCAAGATGAACTCGATCCCTTATGACTGAGGACGCCGTTACAGCATATACTGAAATGTGGACTGTACGGAACTGTGTCACAGCAAGATGAACTCGATCCCTTATGACTGAGGACGCCGTTACAGCAATTACTGATATGTGGATTATACGGAAACTACACCACAGCAAGATGAACTCGATCCCTTATGACTGAGGACGCCGTTACAGCATATACTGAAATATGGATTATACGGTACTACACCACAGCAAGACGAACTCGATCCTTTATGGCTGAGGACGCCGTTACAGCATATACTGAAATGTGGATTATACGGAACTACACCACAGCAAGATGAACTCGATCCCTTATGACTGAGGACGCCGTTACAACAAATTTCAAAGGTTGGATGGTATCTTGTTCGGCCGCAAACAGCTTTAAACAAGAATTGGAAATATTTGATGTAGCAAATATAAAACAGTAAATAAAGTCTTTTATTTATAAATAGACGTGCTCACCAAAAAGGTCTATCCAGAGACACAAGTTCAAGGTCAAGATCACAATGACTTTTTTCAACTATCTAGAATCAAGTTTTGTTTTTGGAACATAATTATATATGAAACCTTATATGTTGATGCATCTTTACAAGTTATGCCTGCCACGCCCATTTTCAGCACAAATGGACGCTGTTTGTGACCTTAAATTCAAACAATTTCTGTATTTAGAAATTGTGCGGTTCATCAAAACTCATTGATGAAACTAATATAGAGGACCACATAATGATAATAATGTAACGTGCGGTTGAGGAAGATATGTTGTTAAATTGTGCGTCAGTTCTACTGATGACCGGTATAAATTTGTATTCACAATAATGTGTTATAAATGATAGTTATACCCTATCAAAAATTCCTACTAAGGTAAGCAAATGAAATTGTTCTTTTCTGAACTAAAGGTTTTGTAAATGATGTTTTTACTTTATTATGATAAGGTTTTACCTCCAGATGTTGTTCTGGAACAGCTGTAAAGCAGGCAAAGTAATGCAATAACAGTTACTTTCATATTGCTTCCCTCCGGTCTGTGTATAAGGCTATAATAAAGCATTAAAGTAGTAAATTGACATTATATTTTTCCAAGAGTAAATGGTAAATGAAATGGTAAAAATAAAAATTATTTGGCATTTTGTCATAATAAAATTATTGTTTTCAATTTGATATTTGATATTTTTCTAAAAAAATCAATAATTCATGTGACCAACGAAAATTTCTGTAACTATTATATTCAGAATGTATTGATAATGCTTAATTCTTAAAAAAAGCAGGGTAGTCTTTTAATAATTTAGATTGTTTTTGATATTATAATAAAGCAAGTTTCTACAGTTTTTACAGTTACTTACTGTTCTATTTAGACGAATTTAATCGTAAGAATTTTGAAAGTATTCAGAATTGCCAGCACATTAAATGTTTTTTAACAAAATGAAATCCGGTGTTCTCATGGGAATCTAATCTTTACTTTAAACTGATACGTATGTCAAATATTTTTTATATAAAAATTTTGAGTTATTTGAGTATTTGTAATTTTTTATCATTTATATAAATTGCTATATTAAGTTTATAATTTCTCTTGTGACCTTATTTTATCAAACTCTTGTTCAGTGATACGACAAGTATATTTATTAAATCTGCATGCCTCCATATGAGACTTATATTTCAAGAAGGCCAATTATTTGAGAGACTTTTAGAAGAGTAAAAATATTTACAATTCAAATAATATTACAGGTACATGCAGGAGTATGGATTTTTTGTAAATCTTGTCTTTTTGAAATTGTAAAAATTAAGTTTTTAAAAAGATAAGATATGCGTCAATGTAATGTTCCATAAGGTTTTCAAATATTGATAAAACAACAGAAATGTATCATTTGTAAACATAAAACTTTGAAAAGCAATGTTGAATGAGTTTTAAGTGATGTAGTAAAGACATTTAAATGATGAAAAATGGTATGGATCCATGCTGGTCGCGAACCCATTATGTTGGTTTTGTCGTGACGCGGCTCATTTTATTTTAGGGCCTAAAAATAATTATAAACCGTTTAGAAATGATTTCGCGCATGTGCCATTCTCTTTTATGGCAATTTTTGCCAAATCAATTTCATAAAAGCATTTTGAAAGTATTCAATCAATATATTTTACATGTATATAGCTTTATACACTTTAATGAGACTAAAATGGCAAACAAACAATGCTAAAGGTATTGTTGTTTTTTTTGTTGAATATTCCAATGAATAGTTTATTTATACAATAAAATAACAAATATATATTTATATTGTCAAGAAAGAATTTATTGTCTTACACACACACTTTCGGTCCTTCCATGTTTACTATATATATATGGTAAAATGAGGGTCGTGTTTAACTGGAATATAATTTAGAGTCAACACACAAAAATACTGGATTTGATGCTCATTCAGTTAAATATATATTAACAAAACAAACATATAATTATCTTCTATATTAAATAAAGTTTTAATATTTTATTTTTACTATAAAGAAAATAAATTAGATGAATAATGAAATTTGACAAATTGAATCATTAATTTTTTAAAATAAGTTTAGAGATACTTACACTCTTTAAAAATCCCTTTTACATGCAGCTCTTTAAAACTATACACTACTTCTTTAAATACTTGTAACAAGCCGACTAATTACGTACTACATATGTCATTTATAGTTATATCCGTTGCTTTAATTGGAACAAACAAGAAACTAACCAATGAAGTAGTTATTTTTTTTATCTTCCGGTATTTTAATGCGTATTATGTTATCGGACGCAATTTGGGAAAGTTATTATGCTTCTAAAGTGTATCAACAATTACGCAGATATTCTAATGCTGGCCATTTTGTTCCTGTTTTATCTAGCCTTCTTCTATGAATACCATTTTCGAAAAATGCAAGATGTGGGATTTTATGTAACACCGACCCTGTAAGAGTCCTAAAAATTCTAGTGGAGGAAAACCTCGGGTGCTCCTCCTTGCATAATGTCAGGCGCGACCAGTCACCTAAATAGAGCCACCAACCTTCTATAATCTAGCTATAGATAACAAACTGGTATAACATAATCTAAAATCCATGATTCGGATCGAACCTATATCGGTTATGGACGAGTGGATGAAATAACGAATGAATCGTGTGGTTATATTTGGTGAGAAAAAAAAACACATACTATGTAGATAACAGGCGATATCAAACGTTGCTGACTATTATTATAATTCGTGTTTATTATAAACGGATTTATATATGTATATATCGGGGAATAATTTATTTAAAAGCCTGTGAAAGTAAATAATGTCAAAGAGTGCAGCATGCAGCAAGCGTTTCACCTTCGCCCAGATGGACCACAAAATAGATACCCTTTACCACCAATATAGAACCAGGCCAGTCTGTACATCCCCATAGTCAGTCCAGGCTATGTATCTATAATTTTTAGTGACTAATGATTTTTTTTAATTTGATATCTCTAATGATGGGAGCTGGTCAGGTCCATTAAAGAAACTCGGCATGTTTACGATTAGATATAAATTCTGGTCAGGTCCATTAAAGAAACTCGGCATGTTTACGATTAGATATAAATTAAATGACTAGCTTCATAGATGACTGTTGACAGCTTCATTGTATTGTTGCTTTTTCCATTTTGAAGACTATAGACGGCGTCTTGAGCTTGTTTTTGTTTCCATGTTACCAAGTTATAATTCCAATCAATACGATTCTTTGAGTTTTCCTGTATTTCAACATTTGACTTCGTGCTCAGGTTTGTCGTCTGCTGCACATGTTTTCACGGACGGAATTTACAATCAACTTCTAGTTTCTACCACATGACGTAGCTGTATGCTATCAAATTCAAACTTTTGGAACCGTTTTTCATAATTTCTGAAGAAATAATGTAACAAAACATTTTTATAGTCTTTAAAAATTAGGAATATTATAAGAAAACACAAAACGGGATGATTTGTTTTCTTTTATTTCGTTAAAAGAAATTAACGATGTACTATACCCATTCTAGAGTCAAATATTTTAATCACAGAAATGTGTTAAAATCTATTAACTTCCTACTAAATATATCTTATTTGAACAAAAGAATGAATAAACTACGTATGGAAAGCTATGCCCCTTATTACAGGTCATAGTTGGTCCGTTCTTGAAAAAAAAAACAACTGTCGTTTGTTTTAATAAAATCTCATTATAAGTGTAGAATTTTCAACATATCTACTTTGTGTGAAGTCAAAACATGTTTATCTTATATTTTAATTTACAAACACACTGTGTAGCAATTATCAATATTTCCTTATATCAATTTTTTAAAAGCGAAGTATATCTTAAATATACGATAATGCATTTCCAGACCATTTGTTATTATATTTCTGAAATTTGTTCCCACTAGTAGCCTGTTCCTAAAACAAACATCATCATGTTATTTTACGATATTCTTTCGATAATAAAAACTTTGGTTCATAATTGAATATATATTTAAGTTCATGTAGTTCATGTAGTATTTCAGGCCGGATCTTAGGCCGTTTTTGAAGTGATTTCCCTTCTTGTAATTTACATCCACTTCTTTTGTGACTATTTCCAATGTTATTGAGAATGTTTAGCTCTATTTCCTCAATTAGTTATATACACTTTATCAATTTCTTTACAACTTAGATTTCATTTTATTTACACATAAATATCTTTTAAAAAACTACTATACGTGTATCTGTTAATTTATTGTTTACCTATTATTATAACTTCACTGGGTTTGGTAACAATTTGCATGAAACTTATTCTGGCAGTTCCACAGTTTATTCAATCTTGTCTTAAATGAATTATATGATGTAGCCTCTACTTCCTCAGGATTTTAACGCATTCCAAGCATCCACAACTCTATGGCTGAAAGTGTTTTTCCTTGTGTTATTTCTTGCCATTGGCTTAAATATTTTATAATGTTTTATTAAAACGTATATGCACCCAGAAAAAAAGAAACATGAAAATATTTGGGTCCCGTTTTGTAATAACCTATAATATTGGAATAATACTTTAAACATTCTCCACAACAAAGAGACACAACAAGAAAACATATTTTATATTGAAATCATTTGAAAGACATAAGTCGTATTTGCACTTACCATATCAAAACACAAAATTCAGCATATTCTTAGTGCGTCCCCTTTCTTAGTTCAGAAAATAGTGATAACCTCTAAGTCATCACTGTCATCATCAAGTCCTACAGTTCTTAAGTTCTCACCAAAGTTATATTTACTTTTTGTCGTCTGCTTCTCGTTTGCTCTTACCGGTAAAGTTGAATTAGTTTTTATAAAAACGTCACTGTTAGATTGCTTAGGAAGAATATACGGAAACCCAGCGAGGACTCCCTTGTTTCCGTGTGAAACGAACACGTCTGACGATTTATATACCCTTGTAATCACTAGGTTGTCATCGTTTATTTTACTCTTCCCCTTAAAGCAACATAGCAGAGAATCCAAAATGCTAGCGATTCTCGACCGTCTGTTCATAATTTCGCTCTTTTCTGGGATTGTTACAGTAGTCTTGATGTCTCTTAGATACAACGTTTTAAGACGTCATAATTTCAAAATGACGCACAAAAAACTATAGAAAGTTAAAAATAATATTTTTTCCAGTTGAGACAAAAAATGTATTTAACCGAAAATAATAATATTATTTAAAATATCTGACAAACTTATAAAGAAATTCGAATGAATTTATTGAAAATTAAACTGGTGATGTCGTCGCGCATTCTATTCAAGCCTTTCACGGACTATCGACATTATGAAGCGTCGTATCAGGGCCCCAATACACGCAGACCTGGGATTTATAAAAACTTTTGGTGAGAATCTGTCTCAAATAGTTTTGTTTTTCTATTGGTCAGTGCAAAGTGTGTGCTTGGTTGTTACCAATCAATTAACTGATATTTTGGCATAGAAAATGTTTTTATAATCTCGCAGCCAGGTCTGAGATTTGTTGCCAGGTGATTTTCTATTTTGCTGTTTTTGAAGCAACGATGAGTAAAGGCAAAATTATGATTATTGAAATACGAGTATATAAATATTTTTCTTAGTTTTCAGCAGGGAAAAACACACACAAACAAACACGCACGCACGCGCGCACATACACAGGCTGAGACACACAAAACTCTCAAAAAATATCAAAAGAAATTTACTTTCTACTCGCTTGCTGTCAATATGACAGATATTCATAAATAATTATTTAATGTGCTCATTTAAAATTCCCGTGGTTTGTAAGAAATCGAATATGAAAACCATGCAATGATGAATGTAGTTTTAAACATTATAGATAAGTATTTGCCGATATAGGGGTCACTATGATACTTAATACATAAATTGCCCCTAAGGTGCGTTTATGTTACTTGTTTAGATTATTTTTTAAGAGCAAAAAATTCAAATATAGCATATGTTAACCATACCATGTATACTGTGTTTTATTTCAAATTATGCTATGCTGTTGCTGTTATTGTTGTTTTGTGATTATTATCTTAGTTCCAACATACATTTTGCTATATACGGTATTTATCTTTATCAATCAGCCCTTTCTGTAAAGATTTCTTACAGCATTATGAGAAAAACTAGACACTATTTTTAGTACATGTATAAATATGACACCTTGTCGTATAAAATTTATTTACTTCTGAAACATTTGGAGTAAAATGTGTTACCTTCAGCTGAGCATTCATTTATGTCGTTCAGCGCTTTGATCTTCACGATTTCATTTTTTAATGCAGAATGTTCGTCCGCATTTTACTCTTCAAAATATCAAATCTAAAGATTTTTTTAAGACATAAAAACGAACCTTCTTTCTTATACCATTTTTAATTGAAGGTTGAATATAGAAATAAACAAACTACATTATTACCGTAAATAAAAAAATACATGTATTATATCTCCATTTCGCCGGCATCAAAATTGTCAAAAGATAAAGTGAAAATGCGTTTGTTTTTCCATATCAGAGATGTAGATAACAGAGATAAGCAGCTCCTATATGCGCCATTTACATATCAATCATGCATATCAAAAAGTGAAAAATAAGGCATTTTGTAGCAAACTTAAGGATGTACATTTGATACCTTTATATTATACACCATTTGAAAGTAAAATCTTTAATATATTGCTGCATGTTAAAATATTGGTAACTTTCCTTACCTTTCACTTTGAAAAACAGCAGAACATACCCGATGAGCAAGTTTTTTCGTCATATGAATAGTTTGTTACAAATATTAATAAGTAGTTCTCTTCAAAAAATTGAAGTATCACTTATTAAAATGGAAATTGTAAATGTTTTTACGTGCAGCAATAGACAAAGGCATAAGCTTTCAGAAACTGTACTGTTTTACTGATTTTTTTGATATCTGGTTAATAAGTTTTACTTGCTACAAGTTTTAAGTTTAGCAAGCACGCGTGACATTTTAACTGGCTAGGAAGTTGCCTATCTCTGTTATCTATGTCTGACCATATAAATTCCTCGCATTGAATGAAAAATTGACGTCATTTTTACTTGTGCTTCTGACCACATTTGCATATTTACTCAAAGCAGTCAAATACCCTCTATGTAGTGATTTTGCATCGTTAAACAAATTATGCAAAGAGATGACATATGCATGATCGTGTATTTTAT